TGGGTGTTGAAAGAGAGGATTCATTTAGCAAACATCAGCCCTGATCACCTTAAAGCAATTGTACTTTTTGCCAGGCCACAAGGATAACGACTAGTTTATTTCATGTTTTACTTCTGACTATCTCATCAGGCCTTGAAACTGGAAGTTTCAGTGCATCATGCCAGGCCAAAAGGCAAATGGGGGCCTTCCAAATTAGTTGTCAAGGATAGAGAGGGTACTGAAAAAATAATCAAAATGACATGAATTATGAAATTTATTACATAGCATGCCAATATATTTTGGTAAGTACTTATTTTTAACTTATACATGGAGAAATTTTCATGCATGATTGATAGTTACAAAATGAACACCCATATTTTCACACTGAGGTAAAAAATAGAACACTTTCAGGAACTGCAGGGTCCCTCCATGGCATAGCCAGTTCCAATTCTGCTTTACTCCTTCCCCCAAGAGGTAACCACTATCATGAATTTTACATTGATTATTTCCTGCTTTTTTTAAAGTAGCATATCCTTTATGTATGTATCTCTAAGACAGACAGTTTAGTTCTAATTCTTTATTATTTTTCTCACTACATTATATTTGTGAGAATCATACATTTGATGTGTTTAGCAATAGTTAATCCATTTTCATTGCTGAAAGTATTTCATTGTATAAATATAGCACAATTTACTTATCTGTTATACTGTTGATGTGAATTTGGATCATTGGTATTTAAATTGACAAATAATGCAACTATGAACATTCTTGCATATATATGTTTGTGTGTGTGTGTGTGTGTGTGTGTGTGTGTCTGTGGGTGTGTACCTGTGTATGTATTTCCCTTGGGGACATACTAGGAATGGAATTGCTAAATCGTAGCAGATGATATCTTCACATTTACCAGATAATGTCAAGTCCTTTCCAAGTTGTCTCACCAAGTTATATGGCTGCCAGCTGCATATTTATTTAAGATTTCATAAGGTTTACTCAATAAAGTTTCATAATTTTTCCATTAAAAGTATTGCACTTTTAAATAAATTGCTCTTTTAAAATGAAGTTAGATTTATTCTAGACACTTAAAAATTTCCTTTAAGTATTTCTTTAAGTAAATTTTTAGTTTTTAAATATTTGTTGCTGAGATGCAATACTATAAAATAATCACTTATGTATAACAAATACAAAATAATTTACTTTTGTACACTAAAAATTTTGTATCCACTAATCTTGCTAAACTCTTATACATTCTAATAGTTTTCTTGTGGGTTCTTTGGATGTCTATGCTTGTAATCATACTATATGCAAATAAGAAGAGTGTAGCGTCTTGATATCATTGTTTCCCCTATTTTCCAGCCCTAGGAAGAACTTTCAGTAAAATACTGAGAAACAGGAGTCATGGTGAACATTTCTGTCTGGCCACATTGTCTTCTTTCCTTTCATATCTCAGCTTTCCAACTGAGATTTCTTAGTTCTCATTCCTGCCCTTTTGCAGTTCTTTTAGTGAATGTCTGTTAGTGACAAACTTTCTCAACTTCTGTTTAACTAGTAATGATCTTACTTCAACTTTTTATACTCAGTAAATAATTTGGCTGAGCAGAGAATTCTAGCTTGCCAGTAATTGTCTTTCCAGTACTCTGAAGATCATTTTCACTCTCTTCTGCTTTTTTTCACTTTTGCTTTGGAGAGGTGATAGGTAAATGTAGTACACTACATTTTTTTAAAAACAGATGTGAAGCCAGGTTCCTGATGCTAACTTTCCCCAGGTACTTTGTCTCATTCTTTGCTGCTTTAAGATTTAAACCACCATCCAATAAGTTTAGAGTTACAATTTGAAGATCTCAAGTTGTCCAACCATTACCTAATGGTGGGCTCAGATACAGTCAGAGCAACACAGGACTGAGACAGGATTTGTTTTGGTCTGTGGATAAAAGTGAAAGTTCCTGTGGCCAGGATTCTCACCTGGCCCTGGTTGACTAACTCACAGCACATCTGTGGGCAATTCACGGCTGTTGACTCTATATAAAGAGCTCCACCCAGGGCTCTGGACAACGCGGTGGCAGGGCTGCAAGGCTGCAGGAGAGCAGAGGCTGGAGTGGTGGCAGTGCCAAGGACAGAGGCCCGGGGGATGGCTGTGTGGGACGGCTGTGCAGGCATAGGGTCCCAGAGGCAGAGACTGGCTTGCTGCATGCAGACTCGCTCTGAGTGAATGGGATTCTAGTGACTGACCTGACACCTGGAAATAAAGTTGGATATAACCCTTTCACCCCAAGAACATTTTGCTGTCAATTTCTTTGGTCACACTGAATCCATAGCGAACTTGCCTGGGGCTGAAACCCATTGACAAGACAATTGGTGAAAGTCGGCAGGGTTCACTGTTGACCAAGGGAAAAGACAGGCTGCCCTTATGGGAGGGGTGCTTCAGCGGGCTGCCCCTGTGAATGGGGAGACAGTGGATTGTCCCTCAGTGGGTATGTGGTCTGAGGTGGCTTGCCTCCTAGAGGACTGGGCCCCACCCCAGGACTGGAGGCAAGTGGAGGTGACACCTGAGGCAGTAGGGGTGGCTCTTAGTATAGTAAGCAGATCCTTTCAGAAGCAGAGTGCCCCGGAGGCAGTGGGACTGTGGGTTGGCTGCTTCTCACAGTCTTAAAATGGTCTACAGAGGAGACCCAAGAAATGGCAGCATGAGAACGCGAGCTGCAAAGTTCCGTGGATTCCCTGAGGAAGGAGATGGCATTGATATGGGAGGAGGCAGCACAGGCCTGCAAGGTGCCATTGGAGACGAGATGGCAGCATTGCCAGGTGTTCTGAAGGAGGAAGAGGCCATCAAGGAAAAAGACAAACTCCTGGGGGAAGCACAGGTGTAGGTGGCATGAGAACGTCAGCTGCGAAGCATTGAGATGAAGCTAAGAGACGTTCTGAAGACTGAGCTGGCATTGTTGCGAGGCACTGTAGCAGAGGAGGCACTTGGGGGAGGGGAGAGAAAGGTGCCATCAGCCCCAGAAATGGAGGAGCTGGGGAAGAATGAAGGGGTGGTGCCAGAGGCACTGGCCCCTCCTGTACTGAAAGCACACCCAGTGGTTGTAAAGAAAATAAAGACCCAGCAGCTGAAAGTTCCCCAAGGAGAGGAGCAGCCCCCTCCCCAGGTCGTGGAGCACTCTATGGTCCCCCCCATACGCAGGCTGAGCCGGTGGCTGTGGGACTTAGGGGTGGATGGAATTGTTCTGTCGGGATCAGAGATGGGAAAGCTGTCTTCCCTGACAGTACCACCTTGAGGCAGCGATTATAAAATGCGAGGTGACACATACAGTAGCTGAAGGAACCAGAACCCAGAATGAAATGAGACCTGTTACAGGAGGAATTTGAGGGGCCTCGTGAGGGTTACCAGGACCCAGATGTGGGTTGATTTAATATGGGCAGGAGTAGATGGAAGGAATTAGACGGGAAGCCAAATAGGACCTTACTAGAGCTATGGCAACAGCTGAAACCAGAGCAGCAGTTCCAGCCATTAATACCAAAGAGGCAGAGGTCAGAGACAGAGCCACAAGTCTGGTCTGTGTGTCTGCAAGACTTTTTGCTGAAGAGGCTGGAGAACAATGTTCACGCTTCCTTGCACAGGGACCATTGCAGAGGACTAAGGGCACATAGATTGAGAGGAGAGAATCCTGGAGGGGTGGAGTGTGGATAAAATGAGAGTCCCTGTGGCCAGGATTCTCACCTGGCCCTGGTTGACTAGCTCACTGCACACCTGTGGGCAGTACATGGCTGTTGACTCTATGTAAAGAGCTCCGTCCAGGGCTCTGTGCGTGACTCGGTGGCAGGGCTGCAAGGCTGCAGGAGAGCAGGGGCCGGAGTGGAGGCAGTGCCGAGGACAGAGGCCCAGAGGACGGCTGTTCAGGCAGAGTGGGCCAGAGGCAGAGACTGGCTTGCTGCATGCAGACTTACTCTGAGTGAATGGGATTTTAGTAACTGACTTGACACCTGGAAATAAAGTTGGATATAACCCTTTCACCCCAAGAACGTTTTGCTGTCATTTTCTTTGTCACACTGAATCCATAGCGAACTTGCCTGGGGCTGAAACCCACTGGCAAGACATGGTCATAAGGAAAAAAGAAGAGAAAAAGAAAAAGCAACTAACAGTGACTTAAAGCATGAAATCATTTACTGTTTGCTTAATGAGGTTTGGAATTCAATTACATTTTTTCCCCTGAATATACCTATTACACACAAGAAACATGTCTGTTCTTGAATTAGGATATGTGTATTATATCTATTAACATTTTAGAAATTCTTATCATTGACTCTCCCCAAAAGTTGTTGGCCTGTTGGAAATGCATACCTAAAAAGGATCTTTTTCTCTATTCCCATATGGCATGCCACTCGGTCAAAGGACTGGAGAACATCACCTCTAGGGTTCTGGTATCTCAAATGCAACTCCCAAGGAAGTTGTGAAACACCCAAGTCAGTCTTGCATGCTGTATCATGTACCCTTTTCCTGTGAGAAGTGGAAAAGCACCAAAGACATTCTTTCCTAGTTTCCATTCATCTAAAAGATTAGGATTAATCAGAAGCAGTGGCAAAGATTAGATAGCCTACAGCTGGAGATAACTCCTAAGCAGACCAGATCCACTGTAGATAACCCTTGATTCATGTAATCAAGAACTCCTGAAGGATACTTATTTCCTATTTCTATCTTTAATTCTAGCAAAAGTCTTTCAATACATTTTATTTTCCTTGTCCATCTCAATATAGTCACTGACTTCCATAATAGAAAAGATTTAGCTCACCATTCACTTAATCTTATCATGATCCAGTAATCTCAATATTGCCTTATTTTTGGACAGTTTTGAAATTAGTCATCACCATAATCCCTCTGTTACTTAGCCACAGAATTCTGCATATTCATAATCAAGGAGTGGCTTTGTGGGCTTTTTTGGAAGGAAAAACTAAATTCCTAACCTGTGAGAAATCAAGTTTCAGTGATTTAAAGGAAGCTCTGGGAAATAAGGAGGGCAAGGGTTTACATCTGCTCAGAATCCTGGAGTCATTCTTACAGCTGGGATAATTTTACACAGGTCTTTTGTAGGGAGCAAATGTTTCTATTTTTCCTCAACAAACATAATTGTGTACTTTGGGGTTGCATTTGGAAATTTTTTTTCAGAAAATAGATGACTACTGGTTTACATAATCCAGATTGAATAAATACACAGTTATTAATTAAACCTAAATCCAGAATTTCCTAACTTCTAATCCACAAAGCAAGTACAGACATCTTGGGAGTTGCATTTGAGGTGCCAGAACACTAGAATGAATGGAAAACAACGGCAGCATGCTATAGATGCTGAACAAAATGCGGCCGAGCTGGTGAGTATCGTAACTACCTTCTAGCTGCCCTTACGTCTAACAGTCTTGCTTTCAACTTTTAACATTTAACTCTTAAAGGAAGTTATCTTTTTTCTGATGTTTGCTATTACAGAATGAAGGGAATCTGAGGTATTATTATCACTACGCATAAGTGTTGAAGGAGTTTTTCAGTACGCCCAACAGTGGTATGATTTAGTATCACATCATTTGGGGTTTGTGCATTAGACTTTTGGCCTAAATTCTGATATTTATATCAGAAACCTATCATAACAGTAGACAAATTTTAATAGATGATTAAAATGTTATGTTAGCAAATATTAACAATATTATTTACTTATGATTATTTATATTATTTATTATGTATTGTCTTATTTATATTATTATTTGTTATTAAAATAATTATATATTTTGATCCAAGGAAAAGATTTATACACATTGGCCTACTTGTATCTATAGTAATAACTTATGGAAAATGTCTCATGGTGGGAGGACTTATGCTTAAAATGTGTTAAAAAATCATATTTCTGACATAGAAAGGGTTTCATTCATCAGGCAAGCAAATCCCTTCATTTCACAAATGAGGGAATTGAAACATTAGGAGTCCACCTGGCTAGTGGCAGAGTCAGAAATAGAACTCAGGTTTCTCAAATATAATCTTTTCATTATACAAACTACAAACTACCTTCCAAAAAACTTGACTACTATGTTCATAACAAGGAAAAATGAATTTTAAATCAACATGGCGTTGTAGAACTAAGAGACAAATCAGACAAAATAAATACAAAGACAGGATTTGATATAAGAATTGTTTTGTGGCTTAAAGGCTTAATTTGAGATCATTCTGGGAATTCAGTAACCAGACCACCATAAACTTTATGTACAGGATGCCTCCGATTTCAAGGAAGCAGCAAAATATTGCTTTAGCATCTTACACATCATTTATTTCATTCTCCTTTTTATAATATATTAAATATTAGTTATGTTATATTTCCCACATACAAAAAAATTATGCAGTTCATTTTACTAAGTCAAATAATTAATTATCCACAAAAAAAATCCAAGGAGTAAAACCAACTTCTTAGACTGTGAAAATAAATGGTTTAAATTTCTCATTTTTTAGTGATCTGATAGATTACCTATAACCTCTAAGAATCCTCTAAACAGGGAATAGGAGATTCATGTCTTTACAATTACTATGTGAGCTTATTTGCTGATTGTACATTTAGAAAACATAGAAAATTACAAAAATAAATGAAATAAAAAATCACTATGATCCTTCCCAATATTTTGCTTTCTGTCTCATGCCCCATCCAATGTAGTTTTAATTTTTTGATTGCTTTACTTCACTACATGAAATTTTTTTCAATTTACATGTTTTTCCTCCAAAAATTCTATAAAGATCTTAATTAAAATTCAGAGAATTGGAAGTTTATACTATTGAAACTTATGTTAAGTGATCTTTTCTGTTTCTCAGTAAGGTTTTATGGTTTTCTTTACATAAGTCCCATATCATGTATAATTAGCATTTCACAGGCTTTATTATTACTGTGAATTATCACATGCACACACAGACACACATAAAACTAGAGCTGTTACATATATTTTTTGTATTTTTATAACCAACTAATTTAATGAATTATTACTTGTGGTAGAGTATACAGTTGATTATTTGGGATTCTGTCTGTAGACCATCATATCATCTGGAAATTAATTTCATCTTCACATTTCCATTATTCATATATATGACTAGAACTTCTAGAAAAACATTACCTAATATTGGGATTCTGTCTGTAGACCATCATATCATCTGGAAATTAATTTCATCTTCACATTTCCATTATTCATACATATGACTAGAACTTCTAGAAAAACATTACCTAATATTGGTGGTAGAAGACTATCTTCACTTCTCTTGACTATAAAGGAATGTCCCTGATGTTTCATTGTTAAATATGAAGTTGGTCATTGTTTTGAGGTAAACAGTCCTTGTCACATTTTTGTTCTTTGAGATTTGTATTGTCTTTCTTCTTCAGTCAGGACTGAATGCTGAAATTTGTCAAATGATCTTTGGGCATCATTGAAATGATCGTTCTATTTACCTTCTTGGATCATTCAATATGAAAAGTGAATTTGTATAATTCACATCCTTAAACCATGATTGGAATTTCAGATTCTCCTAGAGCTTGGTTAGTTCTTCATTTAAAACATGTTTGATTCACATCATTTATATACATTTCATATGTTAATATTCCTGGATAAAATAAACTTTTCCTTATCCTTAACAGTCAGAGTTATTTGCTTATTTATTTATTTATTTTAAAAATCTTTCTCTGCAGTTGCCCAGAAATCCATACTGCTCAAATGAAGGAACACCCTGTGGTTGTACATTGCCCAGTGTGACCCTCCAGCCACAGTGGGTAAGATCTGGGGCCTGGGGGCTGGGGGTCAGCAGTCCTTTGGGATCATGGTGAAATGGGACAGCTCTCTGCAGGGCTCTACTCTCCTTTAACCCCTCACTTTAACCCCATCCTTTGGCTGCGCTATACTTCTCCCACACTGCCGCTCCACAATCTCCTGGCAACACCTGGCACCTGCTGCCCCCAACAGTTAATCAGGGCTGTGTTGTATTTCTTTAAGATCCTGCCCCATACTAGAGTTAATTATTTTTCCATTTTGATGTCTTTCCAAGCTCAATGAAAGGCCTTTTATTTATGTTTAAGAGATGAAGTGCATTTAATGTATATTTTTCTAGTTATAAATTCTCAATATATAATGTGAAAATAAGAAATAATGAGCAAAAGAATACCTACAATTTTCCATCCCATCACTCAAAGATAACCAATCTGTGTTTTGATATGCATTTTATTTTTTTTTCTAATCTTGAGGACTAATTACATAATTTAATTTATACTGTGATGTATCTGATAATATAATTATTTCCTAAGCAAGCTATTTTCATTGAGGTGATACCTTATTGCTTTAGTACAAAGGGGTAACTAGGAGAAATTTTGTCCTCATGGATTTGTGGGCAAGGGGTTCAGGGTGTGTGTGTGTGTGTGTGTGTGTGTGGAAGAGAGAGAGTTGATAAATTATGCTTGAAATTACAGCATTTGGAGTAATGAAGAATATCAGCCTTATTCTAATTGAACTCAGTTTCTTAAGTCACCACTATGTAATTTGTTGAAATACTCATTTTTTAAATAATCCTTTGCAGGTTACAACAAAGCCATGGCCACTCTGGAAAACATTTCTGGTGTGTCTGTTGGCCTGTCTAATTGCTACCACTCTTGTTGTTCTGGTCTTATATTTTGTCCACTCTGCCAAGCCCACCAGCAGCACCACCATCATCATTCATGCAGATGGAAAGTCCAGTCATGTCACCTGCATTCCTGGTTCTACCCCATCCCCTGCTGCATCGACCCAGCATGGATCTCTGAGTATTCTGCCTTCCGCTCCTGTCACCAGCCAAAGCCCCTCCACCAAGATGTCTCCATCTGCTTTGGTGACAATGAAAGCCACAACATGGGACCATGAAATTATCATTGAAGATAAAAAATGACACGTTTGAGCCCTTAGCCCTCCTCAAGCAGATCAACACCCTTACCCTGAAGGGGGCACGTCCAAGGTGCTCCCTCCTCCCTGCCAAGAGCTTCCAAAGCTTTGGCTTTATGAAATCCTACTCCTTTTGTTCAGTCATTTGCTGGATACCCATAGGTAATGCTTCATTTGTGGGTCCTCCAATGTGCAAAAGACTGGAAAAGAAACACCTCCAGTTGTGCCAGGTTGATTCACCCTGGCAGGGGCCTAGAGCTTTCTCGTTACCCCTGTGTAACCAACTTCAGCTTCCATTAATGGGGATCGTAACTGCTGGAGAGGTGGCAGGTGGATCCTGCTCTACTTGAGTCCCTCGTGCTGGCTCTTAAACCAGTGTCTAGTTGGTTGACTATTTTCAGCATTTGTATTCCAGTAGGGAAAGATGGACATGTTAAATTAAAGTGGTAAATGAGCCCAAATTATTAAATACCTGTTGATCATTACAGAAGTGTCCCTCCTATTGGGAAACTGGAAAAACAGGAGAGATCAATGGAGTCAGTAATAATCAGTGGAGATTTCAGACAAGGTTTGGAAGTTGAAAAAGAGTGGAAGTTTGGACATAAGTACAGATAATGAAAATGGAAAATGAGGGAGCTAAGGGGACATAATAGATTGAAAATCAAAAGCACATTCAGAAAAACTTCAAATTAACATGTAATATATTTTATATGTCTGCACTTTTTCCCCGATATTGTCATTATTCCATATTTGGTATTTTGCTTAATCTCTAAACTAGTATAAACTACTACTTATACTATTTGAACTCCTAAATTGTTTTGTACTCTGTATTATAACTTTGAGGCACTTCGCTTATAATTTGCTATGAAATACAAGACTGTTCAGTGTTAGATATGTTCTGAGTGTTTAATACTCACTAGAAGCATATATACTTCATTCTGGAAAAGACTTTAGAATGAAATCACAGCATTCCCATTGCACCCCCAACCTCTAAACTCTACAAAAGGGGAAGACTTTCTCAGGGAAGGGGGCCCACTAGCCGAAGACCCAGACCCTGGAGTGGACACTAGAGCCTGGATATTCAGCTTCCAACTTTTGATTCTCTTTTGAACATCATTAGAGGTTCTAAATAGGTTCCCAAAGTGTTGTTTTGTTGTCCAAGGTTTCCTAAAGCAAAATTTTGTGTTCTGTATAACTCTAGGTTGATTTGGTACAGTCAGTAGTAAGCCATATAGCATAGACCTTGAGGCCTATTGAGCAATCAGGCAAAATAAAATATTAGAAATGTCATTTTTTTAGATAATTATTATTGATGGGTAGCTAGTATTATTACACAGGTACTGGGAACTGTAAAAAGGTGTGTCTTTGAAGAATAATTGTTTTACATCACACATTATTCAATAGCAGAATTTAAGAATAATGAAAGCTACTATATACATTTTAGAAAAAAATTTCACAAAGCTCCAAATAAGATTAACAGCATAAAAGAATAAGTGTATCTGTGTTTTTCCCCAGTATAATTTGAAGCTTACTCATTTCTATTGTACTTTTGTTTTAAGTCAAAAGTAAAGAAAAAAGATTAAATTTTCTGGATTCAAAAGTGCACCATTATCCTTAGGAGGTTATTGAAGAATCTAGCAAGACTAAGCAGGTAAATGTTCACAAATAATGATTTGTTACAAAGTAGAAATGGTTGCAAAGTTCAGGAAATTTTAGAAACTGCACAATATCAATGTGGATGGCTTAAATAGTATACCTTCTGAAAGGTTTCTCTAAAATACTTGTGGCCCCAGCTTGCTGCAATGTGCCTGACCCAGAGCTGGGTCTGTCAAGGCTGAAGTCACTCTACAAAGTCCGGACAGGTGATTGCTCCTCCCAATGTGCAGGCCTCCGCTCAAGGCTACACGGATCGTGAAGAGTCACAAAAATATCCCACTGTCCTGGTCTGTAAGGTTTGGGTTGAGAAATTTACTTAAAGCCATATGGGGGCTCCCTTGTAAATGACAAACATTTTTTTCTCTTGAAGTCAAAGCTTTCCTTCCATAGGAAGATCAGTGATTGCCAGTGGTTTCAGGGGGAAGGAAGGATGGATAGATGAAGCAATGACACTATTCTGTATGAGAAAGTATAGAAGTTCCCCCCCAAATTAAGAATAGAACTATCATATGATCTAGCAATCACACTTCTGGGGATATATTGGAAGGAAATGAAAGCAAGATCTGGAAGAGAGATGTTCATTGCAGCATGAGCCACAATAACCAAGAAATGAAAGTAACCTAAGTGTCCGTCAGCAGATGAGTAGATAAAGATGTGAAAAATATATATATAAAATGTCATTCAGCCATGAGAAGGAAGGAAATCCTGCCATCTGTGACAACATGGATGGAACCTGAAGGCATTACACTAAGTGAAATAAGCCAGGTAGAGATAGACACATTCTTAATGATATGACATACAGGTAGAATCTAAAAACAGCCAAATCATAGAAACCATAGTAGTCGTAGATAGTTTCTCTCTCATACACATTTAAAGACTAAAGAAAGGTAGGTGGTCCAGAGTTGGGAAAAGTAAATTATGGTCTTTAGAGACCTAGACTCATTTATTTAATTACTCCACATACCCAGCACCTGGCTTCTATTTCATAGTTCAAAATGCTGCTTATGGAGATATGGGATTAAAGATGGCAGTGTGAGAGGAGAGACAGAGGCTTCCTCCTAAAACTGGAGACAATTAGAAAATTTAATTGGCGCAACTAAGCCTGAGAGAGCAACAGGAAAGAGGACGGCATCAGACTGCACACACCTGGAGAAAAGAGCAGACTTCAGCGAACAGGTTAAAGTACCAGAGCTGTGGCTCCGAGGGGCCCGAGCCCCTCCCCCACCCCAGCTCACCGGTGGGAGGAAGACAAATGGAGCAGGGAGGGAGTGGAAGGCTTGGGACTGCTGAATACCTAGCTCCGGAGATCTGCACTGGGAGCACAAACCTACATTTCATGGTGCTTTCATGAGACTCACATGACTACTGGGTTGGAAAGTTAATACAGGCAGAGGTCCTGGGGAGACTGGGATTCCGGCTGCTTGTGGAAAGCAGGGATCCTTATCTGGCTGCTCTGGGACAAAAATTTATACCTGTGTGACCAGCCCACTGGCTCAGGCAGTGGAGACAGGCACAGCAGCCAGGAGGCAAGGAACAGCTCTTTCCTACCCCCAGGCACCAGTACTGCTCCCCTGCAACCCCTGACATTGCTTCAGGGGCTCAGCAGCTCCAGAATAGAGCTTCTGGACACTAGAGGGAGCTATATACAAACATGAAACGCCAAAGGAACCTTGTCCAGAGTAAAATTGTTAATACAACTCCCAAGAAAGATTTAAATGATATGGACCTCGTGACTCTTCCTGAAAGGGAGTTCAAAATAAAAATAATCCACATCCTAATGGAGGTATGGAAAGACATCCAAGAACTCAGGAATGAATTCAGGTCAGAGATCCAATCGTTAAAGAACACGATGGAGGGTATTAAAAGCAGGTTGGATAAGGTGGAGGAGACAATAAATAAAATAGAAACTAGAGAAGAGGAATACAAAGAAGCTGATGCACAGAGAGAAAAAAGGATCTCTAAAAATGAAAGAATATTGAGAGAACTGTGTGACCAATCCAAGTGGAACAATATCCGCATTATAGGGATACCAGAAGAAGAAGAGAGAGACAAAGGGATAGAAAGTGTCTTTGAGGACGTAGTTGCTGAAAACTTCCCCAATCTGGGGAAGGACATAGTCTCTCAGGCCATGGAGA